GGATGTCATGTTTGAGCCTTGTGCTGCTAGCTGGTAAACCCAACTACATTTCATGCACGGCCAGTGAGATGAGGAACCCCCAGGCAACATGGGCTCTATACTGAGACCCAGTCTCAAAACCAACCCTAAAACAAAACAAAAACTAATACAAAAAGAAAAGAGTGATGTCTAAGAAGAAATGAGAAAGATTTCTTAGATTAGTAGATAGTTATATCTGAGGAATCCTCTTTTTTGTGATGGGTTAGAAAGATGCAGTCTCCATTGTTAGATTATAATGTATTCCTCCTCTCTATCTCAGTGAGTAGTCATTATTTACTTGACCTATGGGCAATACTTGGTGTCTTTCCTGCTTCTCCTACAGAACCCACTCATTCAAAGGCATTAAAGTACTTTATTTTAAAACCCCACTTTTGTGCTCATTCACCACAGCATTTAGTTGCTTTCCTCTGCAGCAAAGTCATCCTTTCTCAGCTGCTCTCCACCTACTCCTTCTCCTGCAGACACACCCCTTTCTGGTGTTTGTTCCTGTACTTCATTGAAACTCTCATCAGGGTCTCCACTAGCCTCTTCATTACTTATCTGGAGTTAGTCTCCATCCAAAGATGGACACTCAGCTGTACAGTGTCTCTCCTCCTCAGCAGTGTCCAGCACTGCAGTGTCCTCCTTTCCTCTTGGGGACTCTCACTCCATCCATACCCAGACCTTCTGACTCCCATTTCTACCCATAACATTTTAACATTCACAAAATGACAGGCTCACCCTCCTTAGAGGGCAGGCAGAGGTCAAGTAATTTGGTAATTTGATCAGACCCCTGGGCTTTCTGTTCCCTTTTTTTCCTTTCCAAAGCTGAGGTCTGTCTTTTATTCATAAAGATACAGCACTCTCCCCAGGAGTGACTGGATCAGCCCCTGGCAGTTTCTGCTTGCTCTATTTCAAGTACTTAAGTAACATTTGGAAGGAAAGAGTGGGAGAGGTTTACAGCAAGTGTTTCAAGCTGGGTGTAGAACGAAGCCCTGATAGGCTCTTACTCTAGGTAGACCCCCACTGGAATGTGCTGTTCCAGGTCAGCTTTCTCTAGAGATGGTATTGAAGCCGAGCTTTGAGCTTTGAGGATGCTCAAAGGGAGAGCTGATGGAGTTCACTCCATCAGTAGTTGGTGGGAAATTTCTGAGACTCTAAGTTGATCACTAAAGTGAGAGAACACTTGCCAATAAACATGCTGTCCTGAAACACAGAGAGAAGCAAGAAAGGCTGGAAGCAGGTGAAGAAACTTTCAAGGTAATTTCAGAAACTTGTTATCACAGACTGGAATATGGAGAATAGTCAGCCATCTACATGAATGCACACTCTCCTGAGGCCATGACATCCTAAAGCCCAGGTGGTTAATAATCCACCCTACCCTACCTGGACATGGAAAGTAGCATCTCAGGGAACATAGCTGGACACTGATGTTCTTGCAGTAGTATCGATTATCTCAAGTATAAAAGGAATTCGGCATTGGTGGTGAGACAGCTTCAAAAATGATTAGTTGCAGGCATATTGATTAAGATTCGGCCTTTGTTTTCTTCACAGCAGAAACTATAGGGACCACACTAGGGAGGCAATCTGTAAATACCTTCTCAGTTAATTAAGGACTCTTGCCCTGATCTGTCTGCTCTTGAATTTAAGTCCAGCACATTCCTTGTAGAAATGCAGACAAAGCGGTATGTGGTGTCAAGATGACACAGCATGGTTTCTCCTTCAGGGATCTCTCTTTATCATCCAAGTGATAACTCAAAATCTGTGGGATGACAATTGGTAGAAGATGGTGAAATTTATGGCAAAAACTCTGCAGAAACTTAGTAAGTGCTCTCTTCGGATGTCTTCCAAGAAGACTAGTGCTGACGTGGAATGTCATTTCATCTGGATCTGATTCACCTGGAGAGCAGACATCTGTCTTTTGTTTACAGAGAAAAATAAAGACAATTTGAACTTTGGCTCAGGCCCAGTGCCCTGGAATTGGAGGGAGTGGACAGCACTATGGTCTCTATCAGGACAGGACATTGGGTGGGGTGTGGAGGACTAGGCTGCAGTGTGTGCATCAGGATTCTAGGCTGATTGTCATCTCTTACTAGCAATGTGGCTTTGGGCCATGGCTGTCTTAACCTCTTAGCCCTCTGGCTGTTTTGTCTCTAAAGTACCACTTCCCCCAAGATGTTAGAGCGAGAACGCCTGCCTCGAATTTCAGAATTTCAGTGTGTCTAGTCTTTTGTAAGTTGAAGAGTTTATGCAAGAAAATGGCAAATTCTACATACAAGAATCAAACAGAAAGGATTCTTTATACTTTAAGTGTTAAAAGTGATACCAATAACAGGACTTTGAACTTCCTTTTTTATTATCTCTGTGTGTTTATTGTACATGGTATTGTATTTCATAAGGACATGCTTATACTTTGTGTGTGTTCCTTCCTGCTCCCTCCTTCCATCTTCTCTACCCTCCCCACCCTGTTAATCACCTTTGCTCTTGAGAAAATTTCACCTTTACCTTTCATCAGTTGTATACATCACTTTATGTATTAACATAAATTGTATAAGACACAAATGAGAGAAAATGTACACTATTTGTCTTTTGAGGACTGACTTAAGCACAAATTTTCAAAGAAAGAATAAGAAGAAGGATACAGTTTTCAGTGTCTTAAGACCAGGTAGATTTCTCCAACCCCTTCAAAGATGGTACCACATAGAAGTCACCTTCTGCTGAATCAGCCAAGACAAGAGAGGTCCCTAATGAGGTAGCACAAGGCATACTGGGCTTTAGATTTGAGGTGACCACATACAAGAAATGACCTCACTAAAGTCATATTCACATGGAATCTTGAGATGCACTCTAGATGTCAGGGATTAATTCATGTTGAACTTTCAGGCCCATTTCCTGAGGACATGTTAGAACCATAGTTGTTGGGGGGGGCAGGGGGGGAGGGAGTTGTACAATAGAGAACCAATCTCATAGTAGAATACACATGCCTTTACAATATTCTCTTACAGAGGGAGGATATTACACAGACCAGCTAGCAAACTCCTAGTGTATTATTTCAATTTATGTCCGGTTTCTTGTGTACCTATTAGGAGTCTGTATGTAGTTATAGGTGTATAGGCATGCGGTAAATTCTCCAACCCTATACACATTAGACACACTGAATACATTGGCTGTTGAGATCCATAGATGTGATTAATCTGAATTGAGATTCTGAAATTATAAGAGGCAATGAAAAATGTATTTTTATTATTGATATTGCAAGATTATCAAATCAGCTAGGACTTTGTTTTCAGCAAATCAAAACACTGGTTTTCTTGAGAGTTTTGGGGGAAAAGTCCATCAATATAGCATTACCTATTTTTTTAGGCTTTTGATGATATATGGGCCCATTGAAGATTTATGTGGTTTTTCCCATCAAATATTAATTTAGAACCTTCTGAGTGTCAGCCCTTGAACATGTGGGAACTGTGATAGATGGGGTTCCTCACCGGCAGCTCTTGCTCTGAGATTTTCTCATTTCCATTTCTAAATCAGAGAGTCCCCCAGTCACCAGTTCTCATTACTAAGGTGCAGAAGCATCACAGAATCAAGGAATACACAGTTCAGGAGGCCATGGCCAGGTAACCATCCCTGTGACTAGGATGCACAGTAGCTTTAGCAAAGGGAGGGAGTGTTGATTTTATTTTCTATTATTCTAAAACTGGAGCCTCCCCTCCCCCAAAATAAACACAATCAGTATATTTGGAAAATTCAGAATAAAACAAGGTAACAAAATAAAATTTGCCCTTAGCCTTCTTCCTAGGGATAATTCCAGTAGTTGACATTGCTCTGTGACAAATTACAATATGCATTTTAGAACCAATGTTTTTTTGTTTTTCATTTGAAGTATCTTAAACTTTTTCCCAAGATGTTGAGCATTTTCCATGCTCAGCATTCAGTGACAATAATTGTATTCTTTGCTATGGAGTTAGAAGATTTATTTAGGCAGTCCCTTCCTATTATGGAATTGCTGTCTTATGGTTTCCTAATCATAAACAAGGATGGTGTGAATGGTCTTAAAGTAAAACTTGTCTGTATTAATACTGACTTCCTTTGCACACAGTCCAAGAAATAAGATTGTTGAGACTACAGTGCTACAGTTTAAAGGATACCCCATGAATATAAGCACACATGGAAGTTCATTTGTATCAGTTTTGCTGAACTGATTTACCTTTTTATTAATGACTTTTCTTGATAGTATTTATGCCTTTCTATCTGAAATTTGTTGTATATTATAATTTTCAAGAGACAAATAGTTGTTGAACTTCAAGGAAGAAGAAAAAATATAATAAGAGTGAAAAAATAACCAAATATGACTGTTCACTGTCATCGAGAGAAAGAAGGAAAATAGTATTAATTAATGTCATGTCACAATCCTTGTACCCAAACTCTCATGTTTTAACTGGCCCTTTTATTAAGGCAAGCAAACATATTTCAAATACAGGGCATGGAGTCTCTGTGCCCATATCCCAGAGTGCATCAATTGTCTGACTGTACTTTTATTGGAATTTTCTCTGTACTGCACACAGTAGCATTTTAAGAGGGAATTGTTTGTTCAGTTAATAACACTCCACTTTCACATTGTCTGCAATTGTTATGAAAAAATATTCCCATTTGGCATTTTCTCCACATAAATCGTGCAGTTGTTGGGGCTGTATACTCTATTGTTCCCCGAACACACAAGCTCTTGGGCAAGCCCGTTGGTAAATTGTACCTTGGCTGTCTCCAGCAAGCACTGTTTGGGTTACTTCCAGGTAATTCTACCGTAAGTGTTCCAAAGTCCAAAGGAAAATTGGTGACAAATGACAGTGAAGCAACCTGGAAGCAAATCTATCAAATCACAAAGAAAGTATTTTTCCCCATATATATATATAATTTCTCTTTCCTAAGTTTAAAAGAAGAAAGAAATACATTCTGATCTCCCTACCCCCCACTTTCTTTTCCAGCCCTGTGTGGAGGCCGTGAGAACTTCCTGTGCACGAGTGGACTCTGCATCCCAAAGAAGCTGCAGTGTAATGGCTACAACGACTGTGATGACTGGAGTGACGAGACTCACTGCAGTATGTGACAGGCTCTGGGGGTTTGGTCGGGGTGGGAAGGGGTTCTAGTCAGATGCCTAGGCACCTAAACCACTGCACCTTTTGTCAGTCAAATGCTGACAGCCAGGTGAGCCATGAGTAGACTGCCATTGCTTTGCTATTCTTAAGTGGGCCGCTAATAATTTTGTCTCCCCAGAGCCTCCATACCGGGTTTGTACCCTGCTCAAAGTCACCTGTTTATCAGGACCCCTGCAGCTAGATGTCCCAAGAAACAGCTCAGAGATTAAAATGTTTTTCCACAAAGTTGTCCTACGATTGGGAGGAGGGTTTGGGTTTATTTTTTTTGGGTGGGAACTTTTGTTTTTGTTTTTAAAACCTCATGAGTATAATGGTCAACTGCTTAGAGGAGAGTTTTTTTTTTTTTTAAGGAAAACTTTTTATGTTAGTGATTCTTAATATTCACGGCTCAGCAAATCCAACGCTCCTTGTTGGTTTAGGCTTCCCTTTAACTGGAGGGATAGTCAGTGTACTGAGGCGGTACACTCTTCATGCTCTCACCGACAAAATCGCCCTTCCACACACTCAGCTTAATTGGTTTGGTCATTTTGACTGAATTAGCCAGCAGTTTGTCCCATACATATTCAGATTTCAGGTTGTTTTGCATTTACTGAGAAGAAGGGAAACAGA